AAGAAGTTGAAGGGATTCAGTGCTAATAAAATAAAAATGTGCAGAGCTCTCAGCTTCATGGCCTCAAAGAATGGACCCGGAAGAGGGCCTAAGGATTAGGTTCCTTGAGACAGGTCCTGGAGACAAACAACTAGCTATTAAATTCATATCTCCTAATTTTTTTCGTCTCAAGACAGTTCTGACTTTGCTTACATTAGCTGAGTCCTGAGGAGATGGGAACAGTGACTGAGCCTTATGTGGGGAGAGGAAAATTTTTATCCCAGAGAAAAGCCAAGGGAGGCAACGAGATGGGTTCATCCCTTTCCCAGCCCACATTTGTGACTGAGAGATAGAGAACCTTCTTCCAACACCAGCAGTCCCTCAGACCCCTACACTGCCTGACCTGATCCTGGGTGGCTCTTACACGTCCAGGCTCATGGTGCAGCCTGAGGACCGTTGGCTAACACGGAGCAGAGTTGGCACCCAGGGAAGGGATAAGTGTGAGAAAAGCCAGACTGCAAGGAGGGAGTTGGGAATGATACAAGGAACAACTTGTTTCACATGAGAAAGAAGGAGATGTACCTAGAAGAGCTCTCTCTCCCTCAGGAGGGCTGGACTAGGGTTGCAAGCAGGGCCTTGATTCTTTATACATTGGAGGGTGAGTAGGCACCATTCCTCACGGGATGCTGCATCTAGCTCCAGGCAGGCAGTAGGGACAGGCTGCTGATTGCCCTTGCTTCTTGTTCAAAGTTTCACAGGATTTCTCACTTGCAGACGTTTCTCCAGCATCTGAGGGAGTGGGGGTTTGTTTCCTCTCTAAGCTTGCTGCAGATAATACAAACACAGTCTGCTTCCCTGCATCCAGCGTCCAGATCCTTGTTAGATGCAAATCCCCATGATTATAAATCCGCACACAGCAGTAGTTGTGGTAGCATTAGGTTAATCTAGCCTCCAGTGCTTTGCAGTCCTCTGCCCACAAATCCCATGGCATCAAGAGCCATGTCGCTAAGTAGCTGCTTTGTCTCACACAAAGAAAATAAAGCTTCTGCAGCTGAAGCAATCTTTAAGCCTATTTTACTTGCAAAAATTAGAGGATAATGGATGACCCATTTCCCTGGAAATAAACCTGCCATTTTCTCAGCTGCTGCACAAGTGTTTGAGAGCTTGGGGTCCTGTGTATCATGCCACCCCATCCCAAGAGAAAGAAAGCTTAGCAGAGCTCAAAAAAAAATACCAAGTGTTGGATAACGCAGAGTAAAGCAGCTACCCACGTCTCCCTGTCCCTTTCTGACAGCAGATATATTTACCTCCAAAGCAACAGAGGAGAAGGAGCAGTCAACTCTTCTGTGTGCCCTGCCCCAGAGATGGTATTTAGCTGTACCTCTTGGAGCTGCACAGGAACACCAAGGAGGTGAGGAGGAGAGCTGCCAGGGTTCAAAGCACGCGTGGGGCATCAAATCTCATGCTTCAGCACTTACCAGAGAGCCGAAGGCCTGGCTGCAGCATTAGGGGCTATGTCCACCAGGGCAAGGCTTCTACAGACACGTCCCTACAAGAGGCATTTTTACAGGCAAGAGAACAACTTAAACACAGGAGCCCACAGTGCTGAGACAGGAGGCCCAGAGTCACGCTGGCAGGTACAGCAATGAGGGCAAAAGGAAGCAGCAAAAAACACAGGAAAGGAAAGAAAAACGAGCCAGCAAAGGAGGGAAGGCGGGCCCTGGCACAGGACAGGAGGCAGGAGGGTTTAAGCACATTCAGCCAGGAGCAGTCCAGTCTGGAGAATCAATTACGGGGACATAATTTGTCTGCTTGATTAAGGCCTCCTTGGGGTATTGGCTTGTTGCTGAGGAGAGCAGCAGAAGGTACCTGCTCTGGTTAGAGCACAATCCATGACTTATTACTGCAGCCCCTGCATAGCAGTGAACAGGAGGGGAGGCTTAATGGGCAGAGACAGACAAGCACATTGCTTTTGTCCTTCTGATATTTCCCCTCACTTATCACTGTCTGCACTCAGAGCCAAGTCACTCCAAGTAGACCCAAGAGCCATCCAGACTTGCCCCCTGTTAAGAAAGCTGCTGTTGCAGACAGAGCAGGAAAACCAGCACCTGAATGCTGAGGCCCCGCAGAGGGAGCGGTGCCGGCTCAGACGTGCCCTCCAGTGGTCCCCACTCCAGCCTGGTTCCCATCCCAAACTGGGAGCTCTAAGGCTTGTTTCTTGTAGCTTTACAATAGGAGGGTCAGAGGAGGCTTTGCACAGACTCAGAGAAGGCTTGGGGCCAGGAAGGGGTGTCCCTGTGTTTATGTCTCCTTTCTGCCCCCCCACCCCAGGATCTGCTATGGGTTGACAGCACCATGGAAGAGCATTTCCAGGAGCCACAGGCTGCATTTATACAAAACGGGCACTGAAGTAATTACAGCCTTGCTTCTATGCTTGTTTATCCTGTATTCCCCCACACCCCCAAAGTCTTACTCTACAGTGATAGAAGCCAGAGAAGGCTTCTGTCTCATCCCTTTTACCAGCCCGTACTGGATACAGGGGACTGTTGCCCTGCTTCAGTCAGGTTTACACTCCAGATTCATTTCTCCCTGCTTAATCTGACCAATATGAATTCACACCTCCACTGTGCATTTGATGCTTGGTTTTGCTAGAACAACAAGTACTCCGTATCAAACACTCAGATAAAACATTTTGCACAGCTAAAGGGGTAATATTGTGCCAGGGGAGACCTGAGACTCTTCCACCTTTGAGGCCAGTCCCTGATAGATTTTATACAAGTCAAACCCTCTTTTGTGGTAAATTGTGCTACAGCATTGCCAGTGGTTGGTGACAAACTATAGGAAAAAAACCCCACACGACATTTTTTCCAGGAGAGTTGAAGAAATACAGCTCCCAGGCAGCCTGGACTGATAGCAAGCGTCCCTTGGATTATCAGGAAAAGGGAGGCTAGCCCAGTGCCATCCAGACAGCAGCGTGCACAGTTCACAACTCCTACTGCTACTGCTGCAGCTAAGAGAACTGCACCGCTGCTGTGAGCAACGTGGTTGATTAATTCTTCATAATCCTTTTTTCTGGGGCCCTGATATGGGAGAGAATCTTCAAGTGAAGGCCCTTTCGAGAACGCACTTGTGTGCTTTCAGACCAATTATAGTTCACCAGTACATCAGTCTTTGCTGTTTGACAGTACAAACAAGCACTGCTCCCCTAGCCCGTCCCATGATCCACTGAGGAGTAGTCTGGGTCATGTGAAGTGTAAATATTTAGTAAGTAATACATAAGGATCTTTTAAACCTTTAGGTCTGAATATAAGTTATTCCATGCTGTTATTACCTCTCTACCATGAGAGCCCTTTAGCTCAAACGCATGCTTGCAGATACAGCCTCAGCCTTGCACAGTGAATCCCCACAGGAAGCACAAGGACACACAGAAGTAGCCTGAACAAAGTGCTGCTAAAGCCAGAGCAGGAATTTGTGGGCTGGAGAATTGACAGGTCAGGCCATGAGGTCTTTCCACCTCACACTCCTACAAGGAAGCACAGCTACAGATTTGCCAGTGTTGAATGTGTCCATAAAGGGCTGTTGTGTGCACTGGGGCACATTTATTCACTTGTATTATCATGTGCTCTTAGGGGATTATTAAGGAGTGAAATTTCCAGGATGCCATGAACTGCATATGGAAAGCAAAGCTACAGAGGCAGCGTCACGTCCTCCCCACAGCTGCCTGGCAACACTAAGGCTCATAGGGGCATTCTCACCTGCCACGGGAGCTCCTGCGGTGCTGCAGCCTCCTCCAAGGAAATTGCATGTCCCCATGTACCCATTGCTCTCAAGGACTGGCTGTACCACAGGTGTGCAGGACACTACAGAGAGCCAGATAGGAAGAGTGGGGACCTTCAAAGTGGTGGTTAAGTCTTAACCCACCCTGCTCCTCCCAAGCTCAACAAGGCACTTACAGACCCACTGAGCACATGATTTAATGACACTAGTGGGGGTCCTACTAGGGCTCCCATATCCTTAAAGTTAGATGTGTCTGAAAGGACAGCAAGACTAATATCATTTACACTAAGGGATCAGGTTCTCCTACGTTACACCAACATACATTTCTACTCAATCTTGCAACGGATCCCCTCCAGCTCCCATAGCCCCACAGCTCCCACTTCTCACAGCACTCTCACAAACCCACAGTCCACCCTCACACCCCACTCCCTTTGCATACCCAACAGCCCCATAGCACAGCTCTGCCTGCTGTGCAGCTTGCCTACCTCCTCCTCGCTCCACTTGCCAGGCAGACAGCAAAAGAAATGGCTGAAGCCATCTCTCTAGATTTCTTTTAGCACCTTTACGCCCTCCCCACCTCCTCACAACTGCAGCAGATCCCAGATGATCTGCTGACCACAGAGACCCAAATAGGCAGCCACTGGTGCTGCTTACTGACTAAGGGCTGCTTGGGAAGGCTTTTAAAGGGACATGCAGTAAATCCACTCCTGGAGTGCAGTTTGCCTATAGACTGTTTTCCTGAAAAAATACCCATTTCTCAGCCTTTTAACACTGCTGTCCTCTACCATAGCCCTGCAGCACATTCTGTTTGCAACAGAGCTTGGCATTCACCTGGAGAGGTGGCACACAAACAGCCCCCACACAGAGCAAAGCAGTGCACTTGCAAAGTTTGCTTGCCCTGGTTGTTTTTTGCTTTCCATGCATGAGCATCTGTATATGTGTACACAGACAAACCCTTTGAAATGTGCTGCTGGAAGACACTTCAGCATTCCATGTTTAGCCACTTCTGGCAAATTTTATGTGTAAATGCTGAGAATATACAGGAAAGCCCCAGAACAGTCTACCCGAGGCATGGTGCAAACCTTGTGCTTGTTTCCCAGATGAGCTCCATTAACCCTTTGCTTAACCTTCTAGCCCATGTTCTTAATAAGTTCTTCTTGTCCCAAGTGATCTGTCACTTGGGTGAGAGATGGATGAGAGTGGTCCCCTTAATGATGTCTCTCTCTCCCCTTTTCCATCATTAGCCTGAAGAATAGCCTGCAGAAGAAGGTGAGCCAGGACTCCATGGATTTGTCAGGGATCCCCCTGACCATGCGGGATGTCCACCGCATGGCTTACTACCTGCAGAACAACGGGGACCACCTCACCTCTGTGGACCTGAGCTTCACTGAGCTGAATGATGATATGGTGCGCCTGCTGCTGCCCTTCCTCTGGGCACTACCCAAGCTCACTCACCTTTCCCTCAATGGCAACCGACTGACGCGGGCAACCATGAAGGAGCTAACTGACACCATGAAGGACATGAACAAGTTCCCTTGCCTGGCTTGGGTTGACCTTGGCAACAATGTGGATGTCTCCTCCATGCCACAGCCATTGCTCGTGGGTCTGCGCAAGCGCCTCAGCCAGCAGACCACGCTGCCTACCATCTATGAGGCACTCGACTGCGACTCAGAGATCTCCAGTGGGCAAGAGGGCAGCCAGCCAGAGGACGAAGCATCAGGAAGCACCCCACCACGTGCTTTCTCTCAGCAGGGCTGCGAGAGGTGACTGGACAACAGGCTGGCACTGCCACACTGAAGCTGCCCCAAGGAGAAGTCTTGAGTACCAACATCAAGCAGAGGATCAGCTTTACTGGCTTCCTTTGGCTCTTTTCTCTCGCCTTCCCTGGCATCTCCCCCCCCACTTGCTGTGAGACAAAAGACTGTCTTCCCCCCACAACATGCACCGCTCCCTCCCCTCACTGCCAAACCCATCACCCATGTTCCAGAGAGGAACCAGTGACTTACAGTGAACCTGGTCCCCAGGCAGGGTCTCACTGGAAGATGGGAAAAGACCTGTCGGAGTCAAGAATATCATCCAGCAGCCATTGGGTTGAGTGAAAGGGATGGGAGGGAACCTAAAAGAGAAACAGGCTTGTAGTTTACGTCCTTTCTTCCTTTTCCTATGCACCTTGGAAACCTTGGGACCTGCAGTCTTGAGTGTGAAAGGAGGTACCCCAAGAGCCTAGCTGCTGTGGAGCTTAGTTGAAGGGCTCAGAGGCCAGAGCTGGAGCCCGGCAGTGTCTCCCTCTTGTGTCTGGCTCCTTTTGTTTTGTTTTTTTCCTATTGTGTGTTTTGTATTAACGTCTGAACAAAGGGACCTGGTCAGAGACCATTGGATTGCATAGACTGGGGCGGACACATGGCTTGGAACTGCAGCATCAGGATATTTGCTGTGTGACCGGGGTGAGAGGAGGGGAAGGAGGTATGTGTTGGTGGGAGCATGGGGGATGGGATGAGTTGGGATGGGGTGGGAGGAGGGGGGATGAGAGGGAGGGGGAACAGTCTGGTGGATTAGCAGGACTGGTTTCGAAAACTTGTGCTTTTGTACTAAAATTATGAGTTCCAAGTGAAATTGAGGGAAAGCAGACAGCTAAGCGCGTAACTGTGGCACTAGAGGAGCGAGCAGCGAACGTGCCAGAGGTGCGCGCTTCCCAAACTAAAGCGCAATGCTTTGGCTCCTCATGGTACATTGCATACCTCGTAATACAGACACGACCTGAGCAGCTGCATCACCATTTCCACTGCTGTCCAAAAACCAAACCACTGACACAATATTTCTAGTGTTTTCCACATTGCTCATGCTCTATGTAAACATAATAAACAGTTCTCTTGGACGTGAGGGTGAAGCACTATGGTGTCTGAGTATCTGGGTTGTTCACAAATAGAGCCAGCAGGCCAGACACTGGAAGAACATGGAGCAGGAGTCTTCATGCAGTGCCTGAGCGGTGTGGGAGAGGATCAGCAGGTACCATTCCCATTGGTGAAAGTGGCTCATTCCTCCAAGGATAAAGTGAATCACAGATGTTCATTTGTGGTAGGCTGCCGCCCTTCGTCTTGCAAGGTGCTGATACAAATAAACTGATCAGACTTTAGCTGATAAGTCAAGTATTCTCGATTACCTGTCCCTGCAGGAATTTAGAGAGCAAGTATGTTTTTGAAAGAGTTAAAAGTTAAAGAAATCAAACATATTTTAAAAATCCCATATAAATCCTGGCCCTCCTAAATTAACAATGGTAACTTTGCTTTCCTCTGCTCATTCTCTCTGGGAGTCTCAACGCATATAAGCAACTCATATACTAAGCCACACAAATCCACATGAAGTAGATAAACCTTTCATGCTCCTTGCTGGTTTTACAAGGCATTGGAAGAAGCAAAATGGTGATATTTATTAATATCACCTTTGGACTAAGAGTGTGAGGGCACTGGAAGGTATCAGTGTCTGTGGTCAACTGCCAGAAGCCTGAAATAAATCCATTATCCTGAGGAAGAAAGCTGGGTTTAGGGACACTGTGCTGAGTGTTACAGCCTGACACTGCAAATGCTGGACCCAGTCCTGTTCACACTCCAGTCACTGGAGCAGGACCTTGTAACTTCATGTTGTTAACTTGCAAACAGAAGTGTTGCAAAGTCTCTGTCCTGCTGACCAAAAAGAGCAGAAGATGCAAAAAGGTAAAGCCAGTATAGGTAGGGCCAGGTCCCAGTTGCTCCATCCCAGTGGAGGAGGAAGAGAAAAGGCCCTGAGGTAGCCAGAATGTATAAAGTTTGTCCAGGAAGATGGGGAACAGGGTGTGGAAATGTTGCCAGGCCCCAGCACAACCCAAGGTGGGAAAGGAGCATGTGCTCCCCTGCACAGTTGTCACCCAAACCCACTTTTTAGCCCTTCTAGTGAACTTGGAGAAGTAGAGTAATTTCTATGGCAAAGACTGTATTTGGGGAGCATGAGATTGTTTTGCAAAGGGCATTACTGGGGAAGGGCCATGCTGCTTCCAGAGGTCACCACCTGCCTCTCTTCTCACAACTCCTTTTTCCCTTCTCAGTGTGGTATCTCTTTCCTCCCCTGTTGTGGAAGAGATGGAATTAATTCTTTCTTTTTCTTCTTTTCCTTCCAAAATACCTTTCAGCAAAAATGAAAAGCATTTCAAATGTCAGCAAGATCTGTTTAAACTCTTACAGTCTAAGCAGGGCAGCACTCTGTGCCAAGAAGAAAACTCGGGCATGAAGCATTTAAATGAAGGTTTGGAGCTGCCTGGTGAGTCAGTGGCATATCTAGAAAGAGGGAGCAGGGCTACTGAGCATTTGGTATTTGGCTCTGAGCACTCTCTCTGTAAAGCTCTGCACCACGGCATCTTCACAGCTTTTCCATAACAGTGGCACCCCCCAAAAATGAGGCAAGACCCCCAGCATGCAGCCCACCACTGACGCAGCTCTTCCCTGCAGAGTCCCTGGCCCAGTCCCAGCGAGGATCTGTGCAGCCTGTCTCCAGCCCTGCTGGAAGTTGTGGGTTTGCTTTGAGCTGTGCTCATCAGCAGAACAGCGATGAGACGTTCAGCCCCTTGCAAGGGAATTCTGTGCTAATCACTGTCGATGCCTGGCTGCCAGTTGGCAGCTTCAGGAGCTGGAGATAAAGCATGGCTTGAAACAGACTCGTTCAGCTGAGGGATCCGTGTTTATTCCTCCATACGCATTTGGTTGCTTTGCCATAGAAACCTCCCCATAGAGAAATGGTTGTGAATAAATACATGTAAATGCAAATTATGAGGTCCCAGCAGAGGAAACTGCCACTGCTTCTTGGATGAACTCCAATGGGCTGCAACTTAGCTGTGGAGAAACTATCACAGTGCACCCAGCTGCTCCCTGCCAGCTCCTGACTGCATGGAGAGGTGAAGGACTCTGCGAGAGCACAGTGGTGAGCAGCCAGCTCCAGAAGGGCCCCGTTGCCCCATGACAGATAAGGTGCATGCTCATGGAGCAGGCCTGGTGGCCCCAAATCCAGAAGAAGCTATTTTCATAAAAGCCAAGTTCACAAACCAGAGAGGATGACACAACCCAAATGAGTCTTTCCTTGCACTGAATGAGAAAGCTCAGGGCTTTCAAAGGGGATTAAAGGGATGAGCTGCTAATTCAGGTCTCCTCACTGATAGCCAGAGGGACCAGCTTTGTTATGCTCCTAAATCAGGGGATGCCTGCCCTGCAGTGAGCCTCTGTCTCCTGCCAGATTACACAGCAGGAGAGATGGATCCCTGTCATACTGAACTCACAGAATTGCCTCAATGGGAAAAGACCTTTAAGATCATTGAGTCCAATCATTAACCTCACACTGACAAGTCCTCGGCTAAACCACATCATGTAGCACTATGTCTACATGACTCTTCAATCTCTCCAGAGACAGAGACTCTACCACTGCCCTGGGCAACCCCTTCCAATGCCTTTTCTCCTCAGTACTGTACTTGCTGGTGCAGGGCTGTAACCTCAGCTACTTAAAGCAGCACACACACCTCAGTATCAGGACTCACACCAGGCGATCTCCATCATTTCCAGTTTCCCAGCTGCCCTCCCTGCCTCTCTCCATGCAGGATGCCGATGGTCAGCCTGCAATGGGACTCACATCATGTAGCAGAGAGGAAGCTGCAGCTGTGCAGGGTAGTATCACAGCCCCTTCCCCACCCTGACCTCCCACTAGGTGATCAGTCTCACAATAGATCTCAAAGTGAGACATTTAAGCACACCTTTCAAAAGTAGTCTTCTGGAAGGAGAGGTCATCGGGTACAAAGCCATGCCAAACCTCCCCACCATCTTATTTTTCCCAGGCTTTATCAAATACCCCCTCCAGAAAACCCCTCCTCCTGGAGTCGCTTGGTCCCTTTGCAGAGGTACAATCACACTGTGGCAGAGCATGAGACAGTGAACTCCCATCTCCATCAATCTGTGCCGACAGCAGCTCCTGACCCAGCACCCCTCCCAGCAGGCAGTCTCCTACCTGGCACAGCACACCCTGAGCACACCCTCTCACACGCTCCCAGGGCTGCCTGCAGCGTCTCACTTGAAAATGCTGGTGAGCACTGTCAGCTGGGGCTCTGCATGGGGTCAGGGCAGGCAGCAGAGAGCTCTAGCAGAGCCAGCCCCAGAGCCACAGGCAGGTGCACACATGTGGGGAGGCTGAGAAGCACCACAAGTAATGAAGCTGTCGGTGACAGAC